CCATCTTCCCTCTCTTTGTGGAGGATAGCAATATATGACTATGCTATCCTCCAGATTGTGCTTAAATACAGCCACACTTAGCGCAGAAGCAGTCAGTCACCCCCTCTGTACATGGTGTTAGGCATCCCAAAAAGCCTGTTCTCAGAGTCCCTGAACTGTATGAAACACTCGAACTATACGGATAGGTATAAGCACACACCTGGCCTACCCCAGCTGTCATTGCTCCCTTCTTTCTAGGTCTCTATCATCTTAGTCCATACCTGCATGAATGGAAATTAATCACAAACGTTCAAGTGTTTTCAGGTGAGAAAGGGAGGCACTTTGAGTCTCATACCGCTGACTGCTACACCTGTCTCTAAATTACATATAAAGCACTTTCATGCTGCTCTGAGCATAAGTATTCAACTACTTATCAATTCAAACTATGAATTATTATGAAATAAAGAAAGGAACACAGCAAGGAGACCTCCAAATCACACTGACTGCAGACATAAGTGAAAATAAGTGATGCCCAAGCATGGTGTTCTGCTGAGCATGTAGCTGTCTGGGAAGGTGTGCCATGCTTCACGGCCAGCCTGCAGCCCAGGACCTGTGCACCGCCCCGAAGCTGAACACAAGCACGATGAAGCAATTCCTGCTTATTGGGACATCTCTGGCTCAGAGGTCCATTTGGCTACGTGTGCTCTTTAAAAACCAACATCGCTGAAACAGGGAACATAAACAAAGGAGGTCAGAATCACCTGCAAGTACTTACTACCATTCACTTCAAATAGCAAAAAAATGATTAGCAACAACTTGGCCAGGAAAGTAGGCAAAAAACCTCCACTATATGTATCTGCAAACAGCATAATGAGATTTACAGTTAACATGTGCAGTCATGACCACACTGAGTTAAGATCGCAGGATCAGGGCATGGTACTAGCCATGGGGTACCCCTGAACTGAGTGGCCACAGAGGAGACAGCTGCCTGAGCCATGCAATCACATCCCTAATCACAACACACCCAGAAGTCACCTCTGCTTGTCATTCATTCGAAAAAGTCTTTCCTCCATGTGAGGCCACTTAGTGCAAAGCAGGCACACTCCTTTAAGGAACACACCCCTGAAGCTACTTCAGGCTTTTCTCCCACAACACAAAGTCCTCTGATTTAAAGGGGGCAAGAGCCAATCAGTATTGGAGGCTGTGAATGCACAAAGACCAAACTAGAAGGAACCCAAGAGAGAAGTGACTTTGCATCCTCCAAAGCCTTGTCTACGTCCATACTTGCAGATCAGCACCCTGTTCTCCATCAGATGAGCAGGAAGGCCTTCTAAAATGAAGTGTTAGCCTGCTCCCTACTATGGCTGTTCAGCTAGGCCACAGCTCAATACAAGGTAGAGCAGAAGCATGGACTGACCACCACCTTGCTACTTCATGTATGGCCATCAGGGGAATCCTTCTGGTAAGCTGTCGCTGTTGCCCATGACGCTGTCAAATACGAAGTCCTTGAGAGTGGGCTAGAATGGTCTTGGTTGCAACAGAATGATGTTCTACACATTTAGCCTGTTTCAAAAGCCTCCAGTCAGTAACTGGATCTCTTGACACCTATCCTCCACAGGTAAGACTTCCAATTTCTTTTTAAAGGACTGTTTTTTTCCCCCAGGATTAAAAAGAGCATACAAAGATCTTACCTAACACAAACATCTTTTCAGGGGAGGCAAAAGTTCACTAATGGAAGAAAAAGGGAAATGGAGGACTTAAAAAACAACTTTGGGAACTGCAGGGCAAGAGAAATGAGTTGTCCTTTAGCGAAGCTGTGGTGAAAAAACACTGCTTCCGCAAGGTCACGCAGGAGCAGTGAAGGCCTGCAGTAAAGTGCCGAAAGCTCTCCAAGGGCACGAGAACCACAACTCAAAGTGAACTGAGGTTTTTTTACTTATTTCCACTGCCCCCTCCTCATGGCAATGTTAATTTCCAACAACATATGGAAACAACCACCACCTTGTTAAACTACATTATTAAACTACCTTATTATAAGACACGCACAGGCAGGAACAGTTTCTATGGACAACTTGCCCCTGTAGCCACACCTCACTAGGAGGTTGATGGGAGGCTACAAACTGTTGTGACCTCTTCTTCCCCATGCAGCTAGCGACATTTGCTCAGGCATTTGCTCATCAAGACAGAGAGGTTATTGCTCTTTAACCTGTCTGAGAAACCTTTTTTCCCCTCTAACACAACCCCAAGATTCTGTGAATCCGTCTCACATTCATATAAATACATATTAAGAAATCTACTTGAAAGTGCTCATGTTGAAATTTGTCTGCAACTCCTTTGTTTAAAGTTCACTAGTGTTTTACAAAGGCTGTCTGCAGTAGCGGTAGAGTTGCTAAAGTACAGCTCCTGAAATGTGAAATTAAAAAAACCCAACAACAAAACAAAGCCTCTTACTGTATCAGCAGGTGGGTTTTTTTTCTGCATAAAAAGGAGATTGTTTCTTACATAGTTGGCAATGACTTTTTCCAGCATGGGATGACTCCTCTAATAAATAAAAATATTCATTACAGCAGAGATGCACTCAGCAAGCTTCTCTGGATGAACAAACGAGATCAACCTGAAAAAACATTGTTTGGCTGAACACAAGCATCACTACTAGAATCACCATACCATGTATTTTTTTGCCCTCAAATGCCTCCTTCCCCTTTAATACGAAAGCACCCAGGAAAATTTATCCCTTTACTGAGTGTTGTGAACTAGTCACATTCATGAGATTTAAGCCACCTAGCCATGGCAATGTTGCTAGATTCACCAGAGAAGACTAATCATGGGCCATGCTGAGACCAAGACCCCCAAGACTGCTGAAGTCATCTCATGCTTTATAGTGAATTCAGTACCTGACATGTTAATAAATACCAACTTGGTTTAATAAGTTTGTTTACATTTCAAGTAAACCAACAAACATTGATAAAATTCACTTCATCTCAAAATCACAGAATGAAACATTCTGAGAAAATAGTTACAGCTTACAGTTTGACATTAATTCAACTTAGATAAAATAGTATCTGGAATGATTCCACTGATTTCTGCAACTCACTGACAAAAAAACTACTCAAGCAGTAAACAGAAAACAATTATTAATATTTAACCTTATCTCAAACTATCTTTTTGAAGTTATTTAACAAAAATAAACAACTCTGTACTTAAAATAAATGATGTAAAATTACAACAGCTCTTCACTTATGAAACCTGTAGTATAATCTGTAACAAGTAAAGTTTTTCATTGGACCGTGAGCCTGGTTACAGACCTGTAAATAATAGACTAGTGACAAAGTCTATGATACTGCCAGCATCCAACAGAGAGATCTGCTGAGTTAGACTCAATTTTATCACAGAAACATTCACCACAGTAACTCAGAGACAAAAAAAGTACATTACCATGGTTCTTCAAAGAAGAAGATACTATGGTTGCTAGAGTGAAAAGCAAGTATGTAATTAACAATTTGTACAAAATATGGGCTGACAAATAAATGGTATTTTCAGAGTAAGCGTATCAGAGATTTGGATTTTACCCTTCTGAAAATACATCAAGTATTGCTACAGAAAGAAAGGAAACTGTGAAGTTCAACAAAACTCTACAAGTAGAACAAGTATTTATTTTCAGAGAAAAAATGAACATCATTTTAAAGCCATTGTGGCTGTCTAAATCTGTGACTCTGGAAAGAAAACTGCTTCACATGTAGGAAGAAAGCAACTGAGAATTAACCAACACTTCTCTCTCTTACATGAATTTAAAATAAAGTTTTCACGTTTCCATTGATCCGCTTTAACAGTCAGAAGAGCAAGGGGAGCTGGGAGGAGTTTGATTAGCCAAGCAGTCAATGTTCTCAACAAAGCTTTATTATGAATTGGTTATTTTGTTTCCTGAATCTAAGTGGCAGAAAGAAAGAATGAATTATAATACAGGGATACCAAACTAACTTTTTTTTTGACTAAGAGCAACCGAAACACATCATTCCGCTTTTCAGAACAAGCCATTCTAATGCAGAGCTGATCACATTGATGTTGTACTTCCTAACAGCCCATGGAGACAAAGCAAATTAACACTTCAGCCTCTTTTGAATATCATCTTATCTGGGGCCTAGGAAGAGAGCAGAAGTAATTGTTAATAATTAGATGTGGCCTTTACTAATAAAATTATATTAATCTTCTAATGTTAGATTTTGAGATAAAGGCATAGCTTCATGGTGGCAGAGGTACAGGAAGGTACCAAAAATAGTTAAGCATGTCTTTAACTATGAACTAGCAGCTTCTTGTTTTGTTTTACATAACAACCACATAGCACAACATTTTGACAATCTGGCATGTTTTGAACTTATTTTTACTTCACTCACTTTTAAGTCCCAATAGTTGACAGTGTCTAAAAGTGATATTAAATGAAGTGCAGCTATGAGTGTAGCAGGAATAGGAGACACTGAAGAACCTTCTCTTTTTAAATACAGGTTAAAAAAAAATTACTATCATACTGCATTAATGGCATTTTTATTCAATACACAGCTCTTCTATCTGATGTGGAAGCAGACAAACATGTCCCTTAAAGAAAAAAAAAAAAACCAAACAACACAGTACTTCTCTACTGCTTCAGAATTGATGAACATGCTTCCATTTTTCCTAGACTTTATAAAAAAAAAAAAAAAAAAAAATTACCAGCAAGAACCCTTAGAAGAGTGCCTTATCAGGAAAGGCCAGCCCGACCACTTGCTATTTCAGTTCTTCCAGCAATGTCTTATTCGTGTGCAATGAATAATCAGATGCTAGATATCATTAGAGTATGGCATAGTGAATAAATACTACCCACAGGCTGGGGTGGAACAGCAGCGCACAGGCCCAATCGATCTTTGCATGTGTTTAAATTACAAGTTCTTAAAAGCTTAACACTTTGCCTGGATTCCACACATCAACCTTACTGCTAGAAAAGTTGCAAACAACAACAAAAAAAATCATCAGTATAAAAAAAAAAATGCTGTAACACAGGCTTCAAAGAGCAAGGAGCTTCCACACTCCTCTTTATTTCAACAGAGATGATTAGTTAAGGTGCTTTCAGATTCTGCATTGCAGACAGGTTGGCAGAGGTGGCTGTTTAATAAGCTCTTAACAGTCTTCAGCGGGTATCTGAGAGCAATTCCTAAGGCAGAACCCCCGAACTGCTAGTTTCTGTAGCGGGGCATCTGTGGAGCAGGGGCTCCCTCTAAGGGGGCTGAGGAGGAGACTGTCATAAGCTGTCCAGCATGCATTCTCTCATTCACTCGCAGTTCACAGCCATCCTGCAGCATCCTTATAGCTATCCTTGCAATGTTTTTAGAGTCGTCAAGTCCACTGTGAGGTCTCCCATCATAATTCATGCCCAGCTTTTCAAGCATGATTGTCAGCTTGGTCTGGTTCCTAGGAACCTGATGGAGAAAGTGAACCATATTCAAGAATTAGGTTCGGTACCAAGTCTTTTTAATCTAACACAGTGCAGTAGAAACATATGCAGATTTTAAGCCTACTTAAGTCACATACTACTTTCATGTTGCCTTTTTTCAGATCACTAACAATTTAATTTCAAAGCACCTTGGTGAGACAGACACTTTCATTTTTACAGAGGAGGCATAGTCAACAGGAGCTTGTCTAGACTCAGGATAATCTCAAGAGCCTCTCACCATTACCAGCACCAGCTCAAGATGTGCCAGCGCTGGCAACGGTGGAAGCCATGGCCTAGGTAGTTTTAACAAGCTTTATAAAAAAAGGAATTACCACCCAAAGTGGCATTGCAGAGGGAATCAGATTTTGGTTTTCCTTTCAAATGCTAAGCGATTAAAGAAGCACCAGGCTCCTGACTCTCACTGACATCGAGCTTCTGAATGCCTCCAAACACCGCAGGAACAGATCAGCGACACCTATAGCAGCCCATGTTTACACGGATGACCAACAGTGTGAACAGACAAGGAAGTTAACTGACTTATCAATGCAAAGTGCTGCACCGGCAAAAGCCCCAAGTCCTCTCTTGATTAACTACTAAATATACATTTGTGCTTTGGAAAGATCAAAGAACAACAAAAGGATAACTTTAAAGGAAAACTTTAGTTTGCTCTCTTGGTGATGGTGGTTGGGGTGGGGGAACACGGGACATGACAAGTTCCAGGATATTGCACCATACTACTGGATTTAATAGCTAGCCAGAATGGTGACAACACAGTTGCCAAAACCTGGCAATATGCAACTCCAATAATAACACCCACAAACTGGGCAGGGGAGATATATCTGCAGGTTGTGCGATATTGCACAGGAAAGTTACAATACATTCCTTGTCATTAATTTTATCTATTACTATTACGTAACAACAGATTAAATAGCAGCACGGAATAGCTAAACAGAAGCACTGAACAACTCTAAATGCTACAACTGTTTGCATTTATTAAAAAAAAGAAAAAAAAAATCACAAAAAGCAAAAAGAAACTGATTCATTCTAAGTTACAATCTTCATCGCCTTTGATGAAAAAGGACTCACTGCTCAACAGAGAAGGAAAAAGAATGTATGTCTAGGTTAAAGCTGATAGGACTAACAAGACTTCTGTGTTCTCGCATGTTTCCAACAGAAACAGTCATGCAGAGAAGGCACAATAATAGAGGGAGAAATGGAGCAACCCTGTAATATTTGCTCAGCACAAAGTAAAGCTCTTCTCTTATTAAATGTTAACCTCTTTTTTTTTTTCTAGAGGTTACATGTAGTATGAAAAAGCCCTTCAAGAGAAGATTGTCAGCTAGGCTGAAATCACATTCAAACAAATGGTTTAGTGTAGACTGACTAGGAATTTGCTAGAATCTCAAGTAACACATTTTATGATAATCTTACAGTGAAAGAAAGCAGCAATAGGGTCCAGCACTGAACTTGATATTACTTTTCTCTTGACAATTTGATCCAACTGCAGATATGTCCTAATCTGCAATAAAGCTGCCCAGAGGAAAAGGACTTCGGGGTGCTGGTTGACAGCCGGCCGAACATGAGCCGGCAGTGTGCCCAGGTGGCCAAGAAGGCCAATGGCATCCTAGGCTGTATCACAGGAGGAGTAGGGAGGGGATCGTGTCCCTGTACTCGGCACTGGTGAGGCCACACCTTGAATATTGTGTTCAGTTTTGGGCCCCTCACTACAAGAAGGACATTGAACATTGAGGTGCTGGAGCGTGTCCAGAGAAGAGCAACGAAGCTGGTGAAGGGTCTGGAGCACAAGTCTTATGAGGAGCAGCTGAGGGAACTGGGGCTGTTTAGCCTGGAGAAGAGGAGGCTGAGGGGAGACCTCATCGCGCTCTACAACTACCTGAAAGGAGGTTGTAGTGAGGTGGGTGTTAGTCTCTTCTCCCAATAACTAGCGATAGGACGAGAGGAAATGGCCTCAAGTTGCACCAAGGGAGGTTTAGGCTGGACATTAGGAAAAATTTCTTTACTGAAAGAGTGGTCAGGCCTTGCAACAGGCTGCCCAGGGAAGCGGTTGAGTCACCATCCCTGGAAGTATTTAAAAGACGTGTAGATGAGGCGCTTAGGGACATGGTTTAGTGGGCATGGTGGTGTTGAGTTGACGGTTGGACTCGATGATCTTAGAGGTCTTTTCCAACCTTGATGATTCTATGATTCTATGATCTTTCTCTGTTCCCATTACACTGTCAAAAGTGGATATATCTGAGGGTAGTGGTGCAAATTAGTGTTGTAGTGTACATGAAACCAGGAAAAAATAATTGAAAAATCAATACAGAGTCTTTTCACCTGAACTACTTCAAGACACACTTGATCTGAGAGCACCAGTATGACATTTTTAGACAGTCCTTCATGAAGCGTCACCTGATTCTTAAAAACAAGATTAAAATCAAAATGCAGTGGATTATAGGATCTTCAGTTAGTAAAGTGAGATCTGGGCACGAAGCACATTTGAAAATCAGACCCCAGGCGACTCGTTTAAGTACTATAATTTTATACCACACAAGTAAAGATGACAAGCACAACAGGACATTCTAGACTTTTAAACCAAATTTTTCCGCAAGAGAAACAACAATCTGTACAAACCTTATAGAAGTTCCCATATGATTTGCGAATATTGATCCACTTTTTGGCAAAAGAAGGGTATTTGATACGGCTAATACGGCACTGGATGTTCAAAAATTTACTCATATCCCAAGATCTTAAAAAGTCAAAAGAGAAAAGAGACAAACATTAGTAATATGTAATTCAGATGCCCTGCGTTCTACATACTGCACAGGTAGTATAAACAGCTGTCTTTTCTTTGGTGGTCAGTAGAAGGAAAACAGTTTAGGAAAAGCTCTTTTGCTATAATCATGGTAAAGAATTTTTTAATATGAATTTGCTAATCGTTGGGAAAACAAATAATGACATGAGCAAAATTTTCACTAGGATGGTTTCAGGTCCAGGATGGTTAAAACAAAAAATAGCACGCCAACTTCTCCACCTACCACGTCTACTTCAAAAACTGCCAATAAACGAGATGCTTACACAGCCCTCGGGGAAGCAAGTGACACCTTAAATTTTCCTGATTACTTGGGTATGCATGTGTCTCCCTGCTTAACGTAGGTTATTGAAACAAGACCGCACTTAGTTTTAAGAGAACCAGACCTTTATGGAAAGAAGATGAAACGATAACCCTATGCACTTCTAGACCGCCTTCCTGAAGGGAACCACTCCAACAAGTTTGTAAGCTTCAAGCTAAAATAAAGCCTTTTTTCCCCCCTCTCTTGCAGCTGTCTACACAATCTCACCTATATGACAGATTTCACTGCACCTATTTTCCTTGAGGAATTTCACTGAGGGGATTCCCCTGGAAGGGAATTCCAGACACATTTTAGGCCCAGTAACATAACCAGTCTTGCATCAGTTTTGCTTTAGCATTTTCTTTTTTTAATTCACTGTTGCTTCCAAGATAGAAACCTAATCATAGGTAAAAAATTAGTCAAATAGCAGTATTTACCACAGTTCCTTAAATTAAAGTTGGAATGACATTATTTTAATTCCTTATTTTTAAGGTGTACATGGATCTAAACTGTACACCTCAAGTCTTGTGTGACACTTTTAAATGGCTTCACTGTTCACAGTGGACATAACCACATTTCAGAGATACAGGTTCTTCATCAGAAAAGACCTGTGATTTATAGTTGTTGTCCAAATCTTCAGGAATTTTGAGAAAAAAGACTCATGGCCAAAAAAATTTTCCCACTTGGTAAGTTGGATTAGTTAAAAAAGCTTTTGTTATGTATCCATTCATCTCCTACGATGCATTATTTTTCAAACCACTCATATTATAGCCTAGAATATTTATCTGTGTTTTACTTGACAGAAGTGTTAGGAAGTCATACTAAGATCCTGCACGCTCTTTTTTCATAAACTCCAGTTTTGTTTCGAGGTTCATCTCCATTTGGTTTGACACAGTTATTGTAACAGAGCGGCACAGGACTGCCTTTTTAATCCAGCACTGCAGAAGATTTACTCAGGCAAACTAACAACGTGAAAATGCATCACTCAACTCAACATGGCTAATGTTAAAAATTCTCTGTGCTACTTAAATCCCTCCTTCCAAGCGAAGGAGGAAAGCAGACATGTTAACAGAATAGTAATGTTTCAGAGCTAAAAAGCAAGCATCACCTACAGAAAAATTCCAGGGCCAGTGCTATATAAGATAAGGCTCAAAGAGTATCTTTCATCGTACAACAAAGCTAAGATCACAAGAACAATGTTGCATCACAGATATATCTAGATCTCAAGATCTGTTCACTTTAAAGTCATTAGGGGACTTGATGTTCCATGCAGACCTTGTGAGAGAGCAAGTTCAGGTGGCAGTTGAAGGACAATCCCTCACACACAAAGCTTGTCAGAGCTGGGACCCACCAGAGCCACAGTCCTCTAAGCCAAAGCAGAGAGCTTTCTGTGCTAGCCATTCTCCTTCGATAAACAGCACAATCCATTATTGCTTTCTGGTGAAATATGCAGGATGTATTAACAGTAACACTAACACACATAGGATACAACACAACCACCACACATCTCTGAAACCTCGGATTCAGGAAAGCATTGGAGTTGCTTAGAACTGAAATTGCACAATGTTATTTTCAGGTATTTTCAGGCTGCATGAAAACGAGATGTAAACAGAGAATTACAACAACAAAAAAGGATAAAAAGTCTATTCAATGTCATTTAGTTGCATACAGAAAGCTAGGAAAGAAACAGTGCCATCTAATGGATTTAAGCTTCATTTCAAATTGTTTAGTTCAGCTTTTCTGATTTTCCCAAAAGCTAAAATTATAATAAAATGGCAAAATGGCAATGTCATGATCCACCTTTAACAATACTCTCATAAAGATTAAACACGGTTTTGCAGTTTTAGATCGTGCTGAAGGTTACATAAGGACATACCCATCTGTCAACATGGAATAGCTATACTTTGTTCCCAGTTCTCGCTGTCTCATCCACTCTATGACATTCTGCAGAACTTGAGGAAATGTATCAGCTTTATCAACAATGTCCTAAGAGAACCAAAAAAACAAGAGTGAGGAACATTTTTTCAGAAAAAAAAACCAGCATGAAGTGTAAGAATTATATTGGTATATAGGCACTCACTGAACCACTCACTAAGTTGGCTTCACAAAAATCTTTAGAAACAGATTACACGTTAAAATAAGCAGACAATTGGACAGATTTTTCTAAACTGAAAAAAAAAAGCACCACAAAAGCACCACTAAAAGAGCCAACCTCCAAATCGCATCTATAAAGGTAACAAGGTTAGTCAGCTGTTGAACTTGGATTAAAACTTTGGAGCTTGCTTCCCAGGCTCCTGCTCAAGTCACTTGATCACAAGCCATTGCCATCATAAGACTCTAAACCCTTTAGAATAAAAATCTTAGAAAAGGAACCGATGCAATTAAAAAGGTGCTTTCCTCTGCTAAAGATTAAGTTTCTACACATGGATTACAAAGTGAATGCTTTTCCATACAGCTCTTTACAAACACTTAAATGACCAACTTATTGAACTCAATTCTGTGATAACTGGGAGGGGGGGAAAAAACAAGGATTACGAGAACAAGCATTACAGAAAAGTTACCATGAAAGATTACCAGTCTGAAAACATCAACACCACATCTCTTCCTCATGTTTTTTCCTGAAGAAACAAAAGTGCAAATTACCTGGGTGATTCCTGTCAGACTGATGCAGAAGTTTGAAAGCTTGGGATTAATTTCTGGCTTCACGTATTGCTGAAAGGTATCCTCCTGTAATCAGAGAATCAAACGCTCAGCAGCAGCACACTAGGTTGCAACTTATTTGGCTTGCCCATAGCTGAAAGGCTATAGCGGCTACTTGCCCTGCTTGAGGCAAAAAGGAGTGTGTACCTCCCCAGTCAATATGAGCGCCCTGACTGGCCATCATGAGATTCCCAATGGTATGGATGGATGGCTTTCCAACCGGAACACGTCCTTCCTCTCAGCCAGTAGGCACCGAAGAGCAAGGTTGTGGATGTAAGAGGGGAGAAGGTCAGACTGCAATAAAGGGAAGGATTTGGGGAAAAGGAGAGCATGAGTAAGGAAAAAAGAAATGAGAGGCATGAGCAAAGCCTGATGTTTTTTAGGTAGTATCTCTAAAGGCTCACCTGTAATTCAAGGAAGGCAACCGGCCGCACATCTCAGAGGCTGCATGCAAATCAAACACCTCTGGATGCCAGTCAGTCAGAGATACACACAATGACCTCACTCTGGGAAACCGAGCAGTACAAGAGTAAAGACTACATGCAAGTTTCATGGAAAAAAGAAAGCCCCAAATCCCTGCTGCTATACAAAACCTTTTGGACAGAGGAAAAAAACCACCCTGTTTCCTACTACTCTAAAGGTAATAAAACAGTCTTCGTAATCTGCACAATCCTCTCTCTGCAGTTAGTCATACATGCAGCTACACTCTAACGTAGCATCACATCCTCCTCTTCTAAGAAGTTCTTGATAAATGAACCATTAGTCAGAGGAGCGCAGACTTCCTCCATTTCACTGAGTCACTCAGTTTTAGTTAGACAGCAAGTAGTTTTTCCTAAAAGAAAGCTGTACTGGAACAGAGCACTTGAGGCTGCCGAATGCCTACTAAGTATGTTTAAAATCAGGTTACACAGCTGTCAATCTGTCAGGTACATCGTGGAAATAGTCTAGCCCACCAAGAAGCAGAGTTCACTCAATCCCACTTTCTAGACCTCTGCATTAGTCTCTTCTAGATGCCTCACACAGGACCACAGAATTTGCTAATTCTTGTTTATGATGAATCCCTTGAGTCCTAGAAATAGCTTTGTGGATCTTAAAACAGGGAAAGACGCGGGGTGGGGGTGCGCGGGAAGGATGACTGAGAAACTGAAAGTCCCTCATATCAGTAGAGGGAGTCAACTGCAGGAGCATGATCTATTCCAGACGCTCTAAGAATAGAAAGAAAGTTTTGTTTGTATGTAAGAGGCACAGAGGATAGGTTTTTACGGAGGGGAGGGGGGGAAGTTCAACATCTACCAAAAAACTAATCTAGACTTCCTGAAGCAAAGAAGTTACATCGAAGGACAGCATACCGACACAGTAATTGGATCACTTACTATTTCCAGGGTATGCGTGTTCAGTAAGACAACAGGAAACTCAATTATTTCATGGGTGAATTCAGGTGGGTTTCCTTCTTCACATGTTGCTTCAAAGTCAACAACACAGATGTAGTCATAGTAGCTGTCTCCATGAATGGGTTCCTTCTGCATCAGCTTCTGTTTCTTGTAATAGTTTTTCAGTCTCTTTTTCAGCACATCTTTCACCCCTCTAAAGAGATAAGGAAAGTGACAAAGATCACACTCTCATTTAATTAATTATTTCACCATTGTAGAACTGAAGCTATATTTAACATTTGAAAGTTTATCATTTATTAACCTCATTTTGAACACCAGCACTTATGAAGTCTGAATTCAACTTTATCATACAGTTAACGCTCCATTATCTGGGATAACGCAGAGGCTGCAATACCCCCGACAACTAAAACATCTGGATAATATCAGTATTTGGGGACAGACTGGGAAGCACGGTGCAGACACACTCTGCAGTCACCTCCAGCTCAGCAAGACTCGGTAGCCAAAGCCTTTGCAAAGCCCAAGTCTTTGCAGATTGCTCCTAGATAACCTCTGGCCCTGGAAGCAGTACTGTATTTCCCTGTGCCCTCTGCCTGAAGCGACTGATGCCGGAGGTATTTCTGCATCAGTGGCACAGATAATGCAGAACCCAGCTAAAACACCCACATTTTAAATTTGTCTCAATTTAAATTTAAAATTGAGCTTGAGTAACTCAATTAGAGTAAAGTATTCAAGATTTCAGTTGTCAGAAAAACCTCCTGGTCAAGATCCTGCTTTTCAGGAGGTTTGCGGCTAACACAAAAATTCACAGTGGCAAATGATTAAAGTTACTTACTGCATCTTTTTAATACAAACATTGTAATATGCAAGTGCAGGTGCCAGAACTGCCATGTACCAAAGCAAAGCTGAATAACCAAGGATAATTTACTCTTTAAAGGAAGTTATTTTTAAAATTACACATTGCAAAGGAAATCACAGAAGCCATAAGAGCTACTTGTAGCAAGTGGTATGATCAGAAAAGCAGCCCACTGATCCAGAAGGAAAAACTGGAATCAGACTACTAAACCTGCATTTGACAACATCAGCCTCTTCTGCAAACACAGGTAACACTTTTTCCACCCTGGTTTATTAATCTAGTTTAATTCAATGACCAGTTCATTCAAAGTTGAAACAGTATGGGAGTGATGGAAGGGAAAATTACCTTTTTCTTCATCGAATCTATAAAAGAAGTTGAAACAGGAGATGATCTGCTATCAAAATAACCCCAAGGGAAAGGATGGTGTGTGGCAGTCAGCTCAATTCACTACATTAGAGGTGATGCACTATTTGTTTACATGTAAGACATATTCTGACCAACTTAATTGAAGATATTGACAAAAGAAGTCTAGCTTAGCTAAAAGAAAAGTTTAAAACTTTCTGCATTTACAATTGAGTAAAAAACACAAATAGAAAATTAATAACCTAGGAGGAAACCATAGACACATAATTTACTATTTGAATTCTGCTTTTTATTTTTAAATCAGAATAACTGCTGAATAGCTGTACAAATCTAACCTGTTTTACTAAAAATTTTACCAGGTGATGATAAAATTTTTTACTCCTGAAGAGCGAAAGTAATATAACTAAAGGAGGAATTAAAAAAAACATACAGCCAGAACATCTGCAGACAGACAGGGTGGAGGTGGCAGGCTGCACTTTCCACCCACACCATTTTTTTTCCCCCTTTTATTCTTTTCAAACGAATCTCTGTTCCTTCCTTTTTTTTTTCTCTCAACATCCTCTCCCCTACAGTCACCTTCTTTTCTAGAAAGCTAGACTTCTCCTTTCAGACTCCATCTCACCTTTCAAATTCCCTCTTCCTCCAGAGCAGTAGCTTCTCACTTTGCTAACTCCCCACCACCACCACCACCACCACTACTTCCTTGTAACTGTTGCCAACAGAAACAACACACTTTGTTTTTCCCAACTGACCTTCTTCTCAACATCTCAAATTTGTCTGCCCACAGCAGTATCAAAGGGTCTTGAAGGCCATTTCTGATAGAGCAGGAACCACTCCCTTACATACCTAGCCCTTCCCTCCTCAATGAGCACAAATCCAGTTTATAGTACATCCACCTATTCACATTATTCTATCTCATCTATTCAGATTAGCAAACTTTCCATCTAAAGGTACCTGTGCTCTGCATTGATTAAATTGGGAGCCCTATCACCACAGAGGTTCTATCCAATATCAGATCTGTACTGCGTACAGTAAATAAAAACACGTATGTTCTGAAGTGAGTTTCTATACACTGAAGGTCTGCAACACCACTTGAGAACTCTTGCAGTCCTTCAGACCTATCCTTTTCCCCGGACCAAAAACATGTTGAGAAGTAACCTACTGTTACATATTCTTTTGTTTCTTTGCGTTACCAGTTGAGACAGCGCACATTTCTGATAACACATTAAGCAGTATCACATCCTACGACAAAAGCTGCATCAAGACTGCATATGAAACAACTGGTGGCATATCTGCTTTTCACTTTGTGATGTGTTTTCAAACTTCAAAATAATCATCCCTTATGGCTCCACTGCTCTAAAAAATAAATCAAAAGGTTTACAAATCAGCCTAACCTGGTTTCAAGCTTGAACTCTGCAAGTTTACTTCTGAGCTCATCTCTGGTCATTCTGTTGATATAACCATTGGTTACAGCAATTTCTTTGTAAACCGGATCACTGAAGTCATTTGAACTGGCAGTTGAGTTTTTCCCATTAGTTTCTTGATCACTGATCCTACAATGCTGCCTACCCTAGAAGAAAGAGAAATCCGAAGGTCATTTAAGAAGGTCAAAACAAGAAGCTAGAGCGTTACAATTTACATATCGTTTTGACACCAAATGCAGTAAAACATCACACCGTTTCACTCATGATCAAACTGACTGAACTAGCTTACAGACGGATAAGAAAATCAATACTGCTCTGAAACACCATTTTTCTTCTCACTTCCATAAAAACCAACAGACAGAATGAAGGCATACTAACGCATGTCTCTGAAGCCATGCCAAAAACTAGCTCCAAGAGACAAAACCTGAACGTGTGGCCCAGTTTCAACAGAAAAAGTTAGTTCTCTGGTACGAGCTGGCCAAACCTCAACGGGCAGGAAGAGGTTTCTCTCGGTACCTTAATGAACTGACGCACGGACAGACAGATGCCCAGTACTGTGCAAAATAAACAAAGCAATAAACTAACGGGAGAAGCTAAAGGCGCTTGGACTCTAAACGGTTATTCGCAGCCTTTGTGGGTCGAGCACGCGGCGGGGCCGGCCTCCCC